AAAAAAAAAAAAACCATTACCTGAGTCATCTTGAGGAAGTTCATCTTTAGGAGTGCATGTTAATTGAAGTTGTTGCGCCAGTTCATCATCTTGAATGCGTATCAACTGAAGTTGTGACAAATCATCATCGTTGGCTCCATCGGTCTCCATGTTGGAATGAAGACTGCTGATAGGTCTTGAAGTTTCATATTATTTATGGGTATTTGTATAGCATTTTGGATTAGATTGTGCACCTATATTATGTATTTTAATATTTTTGGTTCCTAGGAGTCCTTAGAGATGAGATGGAGCAAAATGTTCCATAAACACACATTTTTTGAGCATTTTGACAAGGAAGCACAAGAAGGGAGCAATGACATCACATTCTCGTGTGGGCACACGAATCTCAGTCCAAAATTGAGCTTTAGAGAAGAAATTCCAGCAATGATGCTGCATTCCCGTTTGGCCAAACCGAAACAGGGACTAAAATAAAAAAATTTAAAAAGTTTGGGGTCAAAATTAATTTTGCCAAACTTGAGGAACCAATATACAAATTTCGGAAAAATTAATTTGCAGTTGCGAAATTCTGAAAGCTACTGGTGGCTGACCTACTTTTTGGCATATAAATTGATTTTATTCTTTTCTGGAAGGGGGAAGGGACTGAACGTGAGAAGAAGAAGAGGAGGCTGGAGTGGTCCTAAGCCGCCAATCTAGCCCTTTTGGGCGTTATTCTTCCTCATTCTCTATAGTTTTGTTTCAGTAAGGCTTTATTATGTGTAACTAAATTATTTTTCCAGTTGAAAGATATTGAAACCTTGGTTCTTAATAGTTGTCAGATCTAAATATTTTTCATTTCTCAATTCTTTGTAAGTATTTGCTTGTTCTTTTGAATGATTGATATAAAGATTTTGGATTCATGAATAGCTGGTAGCATTCATTATTTCATGATAGTTAACAACCAATAAGGCAGCAAGGTTTGTTGTTTTAAAAGGGACTGATGTAATTAAATTACTTGGTAAGTGATTTTATTATGTTATAAGAACAAGTAATCTAGTTTTTTATTAAACAAGGTTTGTTTCATAGGAATCAGAATTGGGTCTTTGTACTTAATGCAGTCATTTTCTTAATCTTAGGAGGTTTCAGGATTGAATTTCGACTAGTGTGGTTAATGAAGGTTTTTTTAATCACTAAACTTAGTTCAAGATTGAGTTTTTAGGAGGTTCCAACAACGAAAACTAATTTGTCTATAAGTGATTGAGCATATCATTGCATCTATGATTAATTGCCTAGACCAAGGTGGATATAAAATCTTTTGACTAGAAACTTTCTCATAATTTGCTTTTATTTTTTTTTACTATTATTTGAATTTTATTTTAACTACATTTTAGTTTTAAAAACTCAAAACCCCCCTTTCGGTTACTTATTTGAAAGAAACGAATCCACCATTCCCTGAGGAGACGACCTTGCTTTCCTATGCTACTAGTTTGAATTTAGATTAAATTGTATGTTGGCTTGACACCCCACCAGCTGCAATCCTAATTAAGACTGTAGTTACTGTTATCTTTTGAGTGGTGGTCATTGTTGTCTCCTTGATAAACTTCTGCATAATCATCGTTCATGAAAACAATAGAATCATCATAAATGATATCATCAAGAGGGTTTTGATTTAAATCAAGATTCATCTTGCAATGAATACATGGATGAAAGAAAGATGCAAGACCTTGTTTCTAATTCTCAATTATTTTTTTATTTTATAGATGAGTAGTTAAGTGAACCGCCAATAGTTGTGAAAATATACGGGATTTTCAGTTTGGATTTTTTTGTACAAGATCTAAATTGTGATAAGATATGGGAGATAAATAAGGAGTGTAATTTTAAAACGCGTGGTTATATTAAAAAAAAGATAAAAACCAATTTTTTTTTATAAGCGTGTAAGACAACTCCTAAAACAAGTTTACCATCTACTGTGAACCATGTTTAGGATATAAATTGCCTTGGTTACAAGCATGTTCTTTTTTCCAAGAATGCAGCGTTAAATGAGGAAAGATTATTATTAAGTTCTAATAAATGTCGTTGACGCATGTCCAATCTCTATTACCTAATTTAAGTAGCAACTTTTGAAATGTAACATATATATATATATATATAAGAAATTCATAGAAGATTTGCGATATAAACTAGTTCTTAATTGACATGATAAGATTTTGTTGGCACACAAAATAATGAAATGTGAAATCTTAATAACAACTGGACATGTCTTACTGGTTAAACTGATCCAAGTGTTCAAACAAATGCACCTTCAAATCAAATTTTAACTGGATTTTTTTCCGTGCAAATTAAAAAAAGTATTAAATTGAAATTTAGATGCAAACAAATTTAATTACATTGTGATTAAAATTTTATTCTCTCTGACAGTTGTTTGAATAAGATTAATATTAGAGTCACCGAAACTTAATATAAGAAAAAATTTTATTTTGAATTTTATTTTATAATTTACCGTTAAAGTTTCAATATATTTTAAAAATGATGAAACAACAGTCATTTATTTTTAGTGGAGGAAAAAAGGTCAAAAGGAGTGTAATAAATTATTAAAATTATTCTCTCAAACAATTATATTGGTAAAAACTAAATTTTAATGTATTTCGTCAGAGTTTTTCTTTTATATCAAAACTATATAGTATTGACTTCATATATTTCACGCAGGAAAACTATTAATTACGTAATGATATGTATCTTTCATTTTTTCTTTTATAATTGTTTCAATAATAAAATTTATTTTTATTTTTACCAAAACAACGTAGTTTTATTTGGGAGGGAAAACTTTTCATTAGAGTCTGATATCTAATCATTTATACTCTCTCGGACTTTTGTTTTAATAGGGTCATATTGATTTTTAGTGGAGAAAAAAGGTCAAATGGAGTGTAATAAATGATTAAAATTGTTCTCTCAAACAATTATATTGGTAAAAACTAATTTTTAATGTATTTTGTTAGAGTTTTTCTTTTAAATCAAAACTATATAGTATTGACTTCATATATTTCACGCAGAAAACTATTAATTACAAAATGGTAAGTATCTTTCGTTTTTTCTTTTATAATTGTTTCAATAATAAAATATAGATTTATTTTAACCAAAACAACGTAGTTTTGTTTGGGAAAAAAAACTTTTCATAAGAGTGCGACACCTAATCATTTATACTCTCTTGGACCTTTATTTTAATAGGGTCATGTTGATAAGGACAGTAATTTCCTTTTCTGTTATTATTACAAGATGACAAGAAAAGGATATTAGTAATTGTGAATTTTCAAAGACGAGCTAGGGATTGTTTTGATTACCTCGCAACATATATAGTCTATTCCGATCGTGCAACACACGTGCACAAATAGGATGCAAGGTTAGTTATTTCCTAGCATGTTTGTGACAAGATTTAGGTGTTTCATGAATTCATTACCATGGAGAATCGAGGATGGTTTAATGGTTAGTAGTTGGGTTTTTTTTGGGCAGAAACCTATACTCGATTTTTATGGGGTGCAAGGGAGGAAGGGAATTTAGGATGGGCAGGGGAAGGGTTAGGGGCGGTGGAGTAGTATAGGGTAATAAAAAAAGATTCATCATCAATAACAGTAAACTCCATATACAGGAAGGGAATCACCTAATTGTTCTGAGGTCAGCTGACTCCACAGCCTACCGAAGAACTCTTGAAGGGTACCAATGAGGCTTAGGTGACTGTCATATTCTCTCAATCCCTTTAGTAATGGGGGGTTAGAGCTTGAGGAAGAAGATTACCTAGACTGTAAGGGCTGGTTTTTTTGGAAAAAAAAAATTTACTTAATGACGTCATTTTAGGCTGAGTTGTTTGATTTAGTTTACTGGAGCGTTTTTTCCTTTCCCCACATGTTTTTCGCTTTCCCTTCCCATTCTTTAAAAATACATGTGTTCTATATCAGCCAACTTGATTTTTTTCATTTTTTCTGGTCTTAACCCCGATTCTTTCAATGTAACTAATGTTCCTTTTCGTTTTATTGAAAAGGTGTTCATTGCTCATTTAATGAAATAAAATGGCAGAGCTTGATTTTCACTTCTTTGATAACCTCACCTTTGGAATGGAGCTGGTCTGTTTGGCCTGTTCCCCAGGCGCCTTTGGAGGGAGCGAGTGGAGTAGTAGAAAGGAGTTACCTTTTTTTCCAGTCTCGTTCCGAGATACGGCTCCCGCGGTCACTGTCCATGCAATTTGACAGCAGAAAAGGCCATTTGGGGAGGGGGCGCCGGGGGTATGATCTTGGAGTTCATTCAAGTAGTGAAACAATTATATGAATAGAGTCAGTGGTGGAGGGAGGGGACCAGTTAGGGCAGACACCTTTGCTCCTTTCTTGGAAAATTTTAACTTGGTATAGTAACGTTTCACTATAAATTTATGAAAAAAATTAATTTCGCCCATATAATTTTTTTCCTCCTTTTATCCCATGGAAAACATTACATTTTTTTGCCCCTACTTTGGTGAAATTCTAGTTCCATAACTGAAGAGAGTTTTTCAATTGAGTAGTGAGTGGAAACTTTAGGGTTTAAGCCCTTTGTACATTTTGGAAGGGATGATTGAAAGAAAGCAGTCACATTCTTACATATAAATTAAATTTATGGAATGATTATATTTTGGGTTTTGATTCAAAAATGTACTCCCTTCGCCCAAGAAAAACAAATTTCTTTATTGAATTAATGGATTGTTTTCTAAGATACTACTAAAATTTACTCTCATCGAAACGATGACTCTAACAGAAAAACAACCACTCTAACTCGGATGGGGAGTGATTTGAATATATATTTTTTTAATCTCCAGATTTCTAATCATGTAACCGAAACACAACTTATAGTTATAACTAACAAGATACTACTAGGGGAAAAAAAAGGAAAAAAAAAAGAAAGAAAAAAGGTCTCCATTGCATAATACTCAGATTTCTTTAAGGGCGAAACACGCGCACCATTAAAACAATGGTGAATAGAATTAAATCAATATTTTATTTAAGGGCGAAATACGCGCACTATTGAAACTCTCGTGTAAAATGTTTGTAATATTACACTTTCTTGCTTGATCTTTCTTCATATTTTTTCTCCAAATGATCTGAATGCAATAGATCACATAACATAAAGCAGTCCGATCCACTTATGAATGGTAAAACAATGAACAAGAAACAGGAAATTAAAAGGACAAAGAAGAATCAAATTCAAAATGATGCAAACTCACATGCGTACATAATTAATTGAGAAAAAAAGAAAAATTATTGTGCTGACAGAAATTCACCTAATTGCTTTTTCTAATCATCAGGCCACAAGATCTACGAAAATGGTGTTAGCCATGTGATCACAATGGGGCTTCTCACCATATGAGCCTTATTCTGCCATATCAACTGTCCGAATTCTGGTTCTGTCTGGCGAGATCTTGATATGAATGTAACTTTGTAAGACAATTTCTGGTGCCTTTGAGTGAAGCTGAGCCTCGGCGGCTCAACCTTCACAGCGACGCCTTTGAACGGTGAAACTACGACGTGGTAATTGGATCCGGAGCGGCCGACATTGGTGACTGTTCTCCGGAGAGTTATAACCGAAGTATTTGCATTTTCAGGGAAAACAGCGGAAAGAGCAGGATAGTTCAGCCCTCCAGGATCAGCGAAAAATTGTCGGCATTTTCTGTTGGCGAACTTGGCGAAAACAGCGAGCTCTGAAGTAGTCAGGCCCTGTGCGCACAAGAAATCAAAGTAATCTTGTGCTTCAATGTCGTAAACCAGGCCAGGATTCAGGGCTTTCACCGGGTTTACATGACCCGCGCCGTGGTCGAAAGGCGTCGAAGGCTGGCCAGTGGAAGCATCTCTCAAGGGATTCATGGTGTTGTCGTGAACATAACTGGTTGTCATCAGGGCGGATTTGATCGCCGCAGCGCTCCAATCCGGGTGACTCGCCTTTAACAGCGCGGCGATGCCGCTCACGTGCGGACAGGACATGGAAGTCCCTGATAAAATGTTGAATTTGGTTCTCCGGCGATCTGTTGGCAAGCTTGATGGACCCAAATCCCCTGTCCACGCTGCCAGGATGTTGACTCCCGGCGCCACGAAATCCGGCTTTAGGATCTCCAGGGAAAGGAAATTCGGCCCCCTAGATGAAAATGCAGCTACAACTGGAGAAGGCCGGATTCCTGTTTTGGTTCCAAGGAACTGAAGTGTTGCAGTAGCTTTACGAGTAGATGCATAATTCTTAATCAGCTTTCCGACGGTTTCGCCGACCGCCACAGCCGGAATAAGGTGACTATCAGCTACCAATTCTTCCCCATTCACATCAGTGTTACACAGAATCATGCCTATTCCTCCTGCTTCTTTCACCACTTGACCCTTCTGAACTCGAGGACTAATTCCCCTGTCACAAATTACAATTTTTCCGGCAACAGAATGTCTATCTAATGTTCCTTCTAAGCAGAGTGAACTAGGTGTTGGACTAGTAGAATTACTTCCAAAGTAAACCATTGAGTATTTGGCTTCTTTAGAAAGAATTGCTCTGCCTTGATAAAGAGAAGTTCCGGTAAAGACTCTACCTGTTCCGAGCTTAACGGTGGCCGGAAAATCTCTGTCCATGGTGCTAGCTCCAACTGTAGTTATCCACGGTGAAACGTTTGTGAGACTAACAGGTTCGGGCCCTCCATTTCCAGCTGAACAGGACACAAAAACTCCCTTTTCCATGGCCCCGAAAGTCGCTATAGCCAAACTATCACGGTAATAAGATGAAATTCCACCGCCTAATGAAATAGACAGAATGTTTACCCCGTCGGCCACCGCTTGATCGACGGCGGAGAGAATGTCGGAGCTGAAGCATCCTCCGGTCCAACAAACTTTATAAGCAGCAACTCTGGCGCCAGGGGCCATCCCCTGCGCCGTGCCGTAGGCGTAGCCGAAAAGATTCGCTCCCGGCGTGGGGGTTCCGGCGACCGTTGCCGCAGTATGTGTGCCGTGGCCGTCTTGATCTCTCGGAGATTTGAATTCCTCTTGTTCATTGATCCTGCCGGAAGCTGCTTCATACCCTTTGTAGAATACTCTGGCGCCCACAATTTTCCGGTTGCAATGGCGCGATTCGAACCCGCGGCCTACATCGCATTTCCCTTTCCAATGATTCGGGATTGCTGTCATTCCAGTGTCGTTGAAGCTTGGACTTTCCGGCCAAATCCCGGTATCGAGAACTCCGATTACCACATTACTTTGGGAGACTTTGTCCGACCAAACATTCATACCATATTTATTTTGTAGCCCAAGAAACAATGGACTTCTGGTGGTGTGTAATTGGTATTTAGTTTCAGGGAAAACAGCCATTACACCATTCTTTTCTTTCAATCTTTCCATTTCTTCTTTTGTAAGATGAGCAGCCAGGCCATGGAAAGCAGTGTGGTAAGTGTAAATTATCCTATCTTCATCATCATCTTCTTCTACTTCAGCTGGTTGTGAAGCTACAGCAGATTTTACCATGGAGGAGTACCATTGGAAATGATCCACAAATAATGCTGGTTTTGCCCATTTATCAATTTGGACAATGTAAGTTGCCTTGGATGAAGAAGGGCTTTTGGTAGTAGTAATAGTGCATGTTACCAATGCTATATGGCTTGATGATAAGAAAAGAAACAGCCATTTTGCTGAAATCCAAACCATTTCTTTACACAAAATCTTTGAAAGTAAAGAAGAGCAGAAAATACTAAGTTCTGTTGAAAGATGAATCACATAAAAAAAAAAATCAGGGAATTTTAATATACCAAAAAAAGATAAAGAAATATGAGGGAGTTTTTGTCCTTGTGTTTGTCTTTATGATAAAGCAATAAATAAGGTAGTTGTCACTCATGAAAGTGAGTTTTCATGTAAGGAGTATAGTATGGTACTGATATACGCAGTTATTAGAAAGTTAAGGAGCTCACCGCTGTAGCTTTGGTAGATCGGTTAATTTATTGCAGTTGTACACCCACCGTGAAATGTTTACGAGATTTCAGACACTATCCTCTCTGTTCGTCCCAAAATAAAAATTTTGTTTATTTAACGATTATAGTATACTTTTTCGATTCTGATTAGAAGGTCCAAATTTATTTTAATTATAATGTCAATTTGTACATAATGAGGACCATAAAGAGTACTCCATCCGTTCTAAAATAAGTGTCGTTTTAACAAAATGGAGAAATTACAAAATAAGTGTCGTTCTCACATTTCAATGCACTTTTTGTCAAAAGTTTCTAAATTACCCTCAAAAGAGTTGATGTTATTGGTGGACAATTTTATAATGGGATTGGTTGAGAATATTCAAGTAATTATATTACCCTAATTTAAGAGAGTAAAGTGTAGGACGATACTTATTATGGAATGGAGGGAGTACAATAAATATGCGGAGGAGTACGTAGTTGTATGAAACATCTTTCCCAGTGATGAGATTTCTGCATGTGAGATGGGGGGACCTTCAATTTCAGTAGTGACATGATTTTCAGAAATGCTGTTTTAAACAAAAATTTAGTCAGGCAATTTCTTTATTTATGAACCGACAGAACTCGTTCCCATGTATCATCGATTCCGGTGCCAAAGCTTTTGTTTCCCAAATCTGCTAGTAAAAAAGTTGGAATATTCTGTCTTATTCTGTCAGATGTATAAAACGACGACATTTTCTTCCCAAAAAAAAAAAAAAGGCAAGCTGCAACCATTTTTTCCCCGTTATTTTTCACTCCCCTTTTCGTGGTTAAAACAAAATATGCAAGTCTACCCTTCCCAAAAATCCCCCCTTTCGCTTCTGTCGTTCACCGCCGGCGTCACCGCCTTTTCTGGAACGCCGACTAGACAACCTTCCCATCTATCCATTCAATCCTTCCATTGCTGCAATTTTTTGGATATTTCTGAGGCTCAATTTCAGGGTTCAAAGTAGAGAGATGCGTGTTGTGTTAAGTAATGTTTGATTCAATTTTATTTATTTTGGGGTAAACTCTAATTGAAGAAATCCTTGAGATTATTTCCATGACCTTCATCGGGGTCATTTCACTCACAGGCTTATAGGTTATAAGAAGGGTGTTTTGGTGGCTAGGGAAGAGTATTGAAGGGAGTAGGCTAGATATAATTCACGAGTTTGCTTTCCCTGCGGCAATTTTTTTTTTCCTTGTCTCCGAGCTTCTTCTTATTGTGACGCTCTTGAAAAGATTTCGACTCCGAACTTTGAATTTTATGTTGATTCGACTGAAGATCTGACGTGCAGATTGCAATTTCGATTCATCTAAAACTTCTTACTCTAATTCATATATACGGATCGTCGCAATTGATCGATTCGTCTGATAATTTTGGTTTGATTGGCTCGAGCGATAGATTAACGGTGAAACTCTGTTCAATCCATGGCGGAGACGAAGTTTCGATGAATTAGAAGAATTGTGATCATATAAACCCAAATTTGAAGTTCTTCATCTGAAAATTGGTTTTAATTATAGGCGTCTTACTAAATAATAATTGAATGTGTTCTTGCGTTTGTTTTTGGTCTTTGAATTTGGTACCTCAAGTCAAAAAAAAAAAAAAAAAAAAACAGAGTAAAGAATGTTCTTTTCTGAATTCTTAGGCCGGTAACATATTCTTTGGCCCGCAAAACCAGCTACTGTTGCAGGGGTATATGTGGAACTTTCTGATAAAATCTGGTTGAGTTTGACCAAAAATAAAATCTTGTATATAAGCAAAACGGGACAATAATTTTAGGACGGAGGGAGTATCTTACTTTGTTGGTTCCTTACATGAAAATTTTTCAATGGAAGGGGCTCCGATGGGGGATTCCAGAGATGGGATGGGATTCAACGTCGGAATTTAACGGGTTGTTGTATCGATGGAATTGCCTTTCATTGACGGCGGTTGGAACTTGGAATGAACTTGGTAATAGAACACTAAAAAAAAATCAGCCTAGCCTTTGTTTTCAGAGCAAAGCGACGTCGGGTTGCGCTATAGACAGAGTAAGACAGGGAAGGGGTGGACTGACGATCTGCCCCAATCGATCTTTCCAGTTAATAAAGTTGATAAGACCCATCGAAGAGAATTCATATTCTTGAATTGAAAATCAAGTCCACACTAACCAGAGGGGTTGTGGTAGAGTGGTCCATTCTTAACCATAGGTCGATGGTTCGAATCTCGCCATAAGAATAGAGTAATCATTAATCTTTTGGCCAGCTCTCTTACCCATCAAAGTGTCTATTATGAACGAGGAAGATTAGTCACTGTTGCCAACGGTAGACACCCTGTAATATGAAAAAAAAGAAAAAGAAAAAAAGAAAATCAAGTCCACACTTATGTTGAGCTGAATTGGTTGAAGGTGGCACCAAACACTGGATACACCAATATTTCTAGTGTCTAAGAGTCATTGTTTGAACTTTGAACGTTTTAATACACACTCATCCAGAATAAGAATTATGTTTGTTGTACTTTTAGGGTTTAGAATGTACTACTGGAAGTGTAGAAGATAAAAATAAATAAATAGAAACGGATCGAACCATGAATTTCTTAATAATATGGAATTTTCAAATCATTTATGAGATTTCAAGATCAATTTTTTTTGTTCGAGGCAGATGAGAGCAATGACAAACGACTATAGTAATTGACAGATACGATAACATGTCAAAAACAATTAGGGTGGTGAATTTTATTTTATTTTTTTCCGCCTCTAACATTTTATTGATCTTGTTGCAAACCAATGAAGAAAGCGCCAATATTTATTTTACGAGAAATATTGTAGTGTCGTGGCTAATTACTCATAAATTCATGCAAGGGTCTAAAACTAGTTAGATTATATAGTTTCTATTCACGTGAAAATTATTGTGACCTATGAATAATTAATTTTATCATTCTGCCGATGCTCCATACATAAATATTTTCCAAATGTTTCTAGGTTGAAAATATTGTTTTTTGATATAAATGCTTCCGAACTAACGTGTAAATCTACCGCAGTAGAAATTAATAGCAAAGCAGAGATGACTAGTAGTTGGTGCGGCTTCGTCTCTCTTCATTCAATCATGCTTTCTTTGATGTCGTCAAATTCATGCATTAACACCAGTCTGCCCCATACTATTGAATGCCACAGCAGGCCCTTTCAGAGATAAGCGCTACGTCTCCTCGTGTATCTATTCGCATTTAAAACGGCCAAAATGACATGAAAAACAACATGATACCCGTCCCCAAGAGAAAAAAGAGTCTTTCAAAAACAAAACAAAAAAAAAAGAAATAAATAAGAGTCGGTTGAATTGAATTAAATAATGTAATACTCCTTCCGTCCCAGAAAAATAGTCCAATTTGAAAATGTATAACTTTTTTAATTTAGTTAAACACACCAAATGTATAACTCATTTTATGCCCCTAACTTCCACGAATGCACCTTCTAGTTATTTCTATATATAAAAGTTAATTATGTATGCATTTATTTTTACAACTTAAATTTGATCAAAATTTTTATCTAAAAAAATATTGACAATGGATCTTGATGCAAAGATCTCGTTACGTAGATTAATTTGATATATAACACATTTTTTTTAATTATTCACGTATTAAAAGATATAATCATTTGAAAAAATGGGAGAAGACTAAAAAAAAATAAAAATCAAAGGAAGTGGACCTTGTTTTCCTTACCAGTACTCTTTTAGATATTTAAGTCATTTTAATTCAATTAATGAATTTTGTGAAACTGAACTAATTTTTTGGGACAAACTTTTTTATTAAATTAGACCATTTTTGTGGGACGGAGGGAGTAACAAACATCAATTTTATTTCGGGATGAGTATCACGATAATATAGAGAAGTTTTGACAACATTTTTTAGCCGTAAAGATTTTGATGTGTTCGGCAGTTGTATATTTAATCTTTTAGTTTATAATATGACTCGATAAATATATGAAAAAACATATTCTATATATATATATATATATATATATATATATATATATGAATTTTCTAAAGCAAGTGATAATGAGATGTGAATTAATGAAACACGCATTTCAGTATATGAAACCCGTATTCAGTATCTACAATGAGATTTTCTGAAATTAACAAACGCTCAAGTCTCAATTAAAACACTTGTTAACCCTGATTTGTCATTTATGTTAGAGTATTTGATTTGATTAATGTTACAAGTCTGTCTTCACCCACTTCTTCTGTTTTAAAATTATTGTCAAAAATTATTTATACTCCTTATGTCCCACAATTATTATTCAGTTTGAAACAAAAGAAACATATAAGTACCCACTCTTATCATCATAAGAAGAAATTAATTCACAATTTCACATCACCATGATCCATGCTACAAATATCGGATTTTTCCTTAGAAACTCCTGTTTGCCATGAGCCCGGATATTTTGCTCCTGAGTTTTCCGGTCGCCTGATGTTCCCTTCCAGTGCTAAAATTTTTTATCCATCATTGGCCCTGCCCCGCCACCTTGAATTCTCGTCATCTGCACGTCAAATTTGATGAAGTACTATGATTCTTGACTTATTTTAGTTTTCAGCCTCTTTAACTACACATATTTTGGGCCTTAGTTTCTGTTTTTACGATTTACGTTGTTGGGCTGGTTGTACGATTTTGGACCTTTTCCTGGTGTTTTCTTCTATTATACATTCACAATCTAATTTTTATGTACCAGCAGATACTTGCCCAAAGTAATAAGGTGTTTTGTTTCTCTTAAACGAGGTTTCGGATTCGAGTCTTGTGAATGAAAAGAGCAATGTTAGGAGAGCTTCTCGTTAAAAGAAGACCGACTCGATTTGATGCAGATTAGTTTGAGTACAATGCACTTAGAACACTATGTGCAGTATAGGAAAACAAATCTAATCTTTCTGTGTTTGTATCTAATTTTTGATTAATCTAAACTAACTAACTGGAATTTGATAGGAAATGTTTAACCTAATTTGGTCATTTAGGTTAGGATATTTTATTTGACTTGGATGGAATTTGATTCAATTTAAAAAATTTAACTAGCAGTCAAAAGAGTTTGATTGAAATTACCTCATTGTTATAGTCCCCATCCATTCCACATTATCTTTGTATAATGAATTATTACATTCTAATAAAAATAAAAATCTTGAAAAATATTTGATGACACGCCAAATGGGTGCGGGAAGCCTAATTTACATAGATCGTCTGCGCATTTGTTTGCATCCCTTGAGCAATATGCAATCCATTCAATCATTTTTAGGTGATAATGCATTTGGATTAAAATGTGGGTCACATTGCAAACGAATGATAGTTTTGGGAAGGGAGAATTTTTATTAAGGGCATTGGAAAGATTATATTTATTGTGAAGGGCATGGGTTATAAATTAATACTATCAATTTTTTTCGCTTATGAAAAGACCAAATAATCCCTCTTTCTTTTTCCATCACCAGTGAATCTGTAAATTCAAGAAAGGAAAATATAAATAAAAGTCCATTTGCTCAAAATCGGAAAATGGAAATCTTATCAGCAGAAACCATGGCCAAAACTTAATCTTATCCTTAGTTGCGGTCGACGGCTCCCCGATCTGACTTCGTAATCCATCCATCTCCTTCATCAATTAAAGTTTGGAGATCAATTCAACACAAACAAAGCCCTGGTGCAATAGTGCACCAATTACTACTCTTTTTACATCAGTGGCATTCTCTTTGAACCCTAATTATTATTAGAATGAGAAAACTTTGTAAATGACAGTTGATTCTTAATCTTGTTTGAAATCAAGCAATTGAGTAAAAATTATGGTTTAGTTCTATTGCATATGAAGAATACAGGAAACCTTGTTATAGTTTGGATCAAACATCTTATGAAATATGAGTTTGGATGTATAAAAAAAAGAAAAGAAAAATTTGCAGCAAGGTTGAACTTGGATGAATTCTAAAGGATAGAGGAACTTGGCATTGGTTTAGAAGAAATGGGCAAAGCAGTAATTTTGCAAACCCAAAAATACTAAAAATGATGTAAAATTAATGATAGTGAATTAATAAATCTCATGCCCTTTTTAATAATTATTATTCTTCCAATGCCCTTAATGAAAATTTTCCCAAGTATTTTCAAGAACCGGATATAAATAGGTGAAATTTTGTCACGTCCCCACCCGTTTTCCTTTTTCTATACATATAATAATTTCTACACAGTAAAATTCAGTCTCACCGGGCCAGCATCCCCCAGGCCATTTTGCTCTCCAATTTGATCGAATTCATCAGAAACCATCTAAAGTAAATTTCGTGCCTAGCAGCGATGTCCCAGCAGCCCAAGAGCTCAGATGATGAAAATCAAACGGTTAGCGTCTTTCAGCTTCAGAATATCATCCTCTTCCTTTTTTATTTTATTTTTTTTGGTTGTCTGGAAATTTTTGAATCAACGGCGTGAATTTTTTATGTGTTGGTCACACTTTAAATTTTTGGGATTTCTGTTAATTTCTGTATGGTATTAATGACATGATTTGGTATATTCATAGCTAGTAAATTGCTGCTTGTAGTTTTTTTCCTCTTTTTTTTTTCCTGTGGGAAATTTTTCCATTTTCCATGGGGTAATTGTTCATAGAAAGTTCAGAAACATAGAATTGCTGATGATTGATGAATTTATGAAATTATGAAGTATGTACCACTAATTGATTGTTATTTGGTTCAAAGAAGAAAACTTTGAGTTGAATTTGGAGAATTGCATTGTGTAAATGTGCTATTAAGATGATGAACTCATGATTATAAGTTGAAACTTGGAAGTTGCTATGATTCTATTTAACAAGTATAATTATATCATCATGTCTTGAATCTTTGTGAGTGGGGTAATTGGATGCAACTTGACATTTCCAGTTATTCTGTTTTCCTGTTGTGGAGTAGGAAATGTACATTCGAGTAAAGAGGAACAAGACCACATACTTCTTGCAATGTCTTCCTAGTGAAAAAGTTCTGCAGATCAAGGAGAAGTTGCAAGTCCTTATCGACGAACCAGTTAATAATCAGCGATTAATTCTGATTCAAACTGGAGAAGTACTAGACGATTCAAAGTCACTAGCTGATCAGAAGGTACTAATACATATATTATTGATGAGTAAGCAAGTCATTATATCTACTTGGAAGCATATGCTCTAAAAATTTCTGGCAGATCATCTCTCCTTTATCCTCTCTTATTCCATATTTTACGCTTTTGTTTCCCGTTTTGTACTGTGCCTATTTTATTGTGCTAAATCGTATCAAATTTTTGTTTAGGTTGAAAACGATGCTGCTGTGGCACTCACCTTGAGAAAAGGTTCCGTCCCTTTCTTATTTTCACTTCAAAGCCATTTTTTGATTACTCTGTTGTAAGTAGCTTTTACCTGATGTTCCTAATGATGAGTTCAACAACAGTGAATTGATGTACTCTGTTACGGTTTAGTTGATTAGCACTTCATGTAAAATACTTTCATACTATGCGGCATTTCTATAATGAATTTAGATGTAAAATTTGGAAGTCCAAGGAACTGAGGCTGGGCGTTTAACCATTTGAAGGATGGGAAGGGGAATCTAATAAAATGGAGCACTTACATACTGTTTCAAAATAATCTAATACACTGTGGTTTCTGTTGTGTTTTTCTGTATCTTTGATCTTTCAGTTTAACTTAGGAGTTGTGTTTCTTGCTGTTTTGAAGTGCCCTTTCCATTTTGGTAGCCTTAGGGACATTGATTCTGTAACTGAAAAATAAGAATAATTGCACTTATCTTTTCTCTGGATTTTTCACCCTCCTAGTCATATTTCTAGATATTAACTGGACTCTGCCTTAGGCTTGGGCATTTTTTCCCTCATCTTCCTCCCCTACCCCTGAACATATTATTGAAGAGCAAAGGAAGCATTATGGGATTCAAAGTTTTCATTTGATGTTGAATTAATTAGTGTGGTTCCTCTAGTAGTTTACTTGCTAAGACAAACACAAAGACACTGTCAGGTGACTGAGCAGATCTCCCATATCTTAACACGATGCAGTAATGTAAGCTTTCTCAATAGGCAAACCCCCTAGGCCCTCTTGTGTTCTACTTTGTATGACGAAACTGCATTATCAATGGGTATTGTACTTGACTTAATGTAAATTCTACCAAATACTTGGCTGTCTGTGTCTAGTACTCAAAACAATATGCATATAAAAGCTCGGTACATGTTACTTTCTTTAGATGGAAGTCAAAGCCTCTATTGAGTTGTGGCCTGGGATTTGAATCAAAGCGTCTAGTTGAGTGTGGAGAAACCTTGCAAGTTCAGAAATTTAAGTTCTGTATCTTGAAATTCTGCACACCTTCTTTCCAGTTTTTTGTGTTAATCTATTCATTTTTGGGTTGCAAAAGAGTGTGTGTAATAATTTTCGTTCGAATACACTCACATTGTTTTGCATCACCTGCGACTAACCAGCTTTCTAAATCCTTTGTATTGTTTTACAGCTGACAACGAATTTGAGGATGTTAATGTTGTGAAACCAGATGACTATATCCGCGATGGGGATGGTGGCTCAAATTGGTGACCTTCGCAGGAGCTGAAATTGTTAAACATTATCCTCTGCATTTTATTGCTGATTAACTTGTTACCTGTTAGTTGGACTTTTTACTATAGCACTAAAAGTTGATTTGTTCTAAGGGTTTCATTCAGGACTTAATTACAATACGAAGTTCGGACTAGAATCTTGATGCTTTTATCTGTCCTTTTTGTCTTCCTTGCTTGTCAGAGGCCCCAAAGAATCATATTATCACTTGTATTGAAAACATAAATGGATGGACATAAACCGGATAGAAGGAAATGAAAGGGCAGCCTGGCTTCTTAGAATCCAAAAGCTGCGTATGTGCTTAAACTGGTTAATTATGTTTGTTTCGTTTTTTTAGTGTATGTTTTTATGTGTTTTTTGTATTAGAAATGTAAAAAAGTATGCTGAGATAGGACAGTTATTATTTAAATATTTTGAAAATACCATAAAAAAACCTAACAAACAAAGGCCACTAAGGCTTGACATGCGCAATCTACTCAGGGAATTTTGTACTTTTTGTCCATAATCTTTACTGTAATAGCAAGTTTAGTCCACCACTCTTAAACCGATGAATTCACTTTGATTATTGTTAATTTTCTTCAATCTGATACTTCAGCTCTATATCATTCCCATTATTCTAACTCCTATTTTCACTTTCACTCTCCATTTACTCTTGACCTTCCTCTAATTTTCCATTGAATTCTGTTTTTACCCTCTTTTTCCACCACTTCTCATTATTTTACTTCTCTGGCGTGAACTAGGTTAGCTATTTTTGTTACAGAGATGTACCAGTTACGGTGAAACAAAAAGAATAAAGTAAAAAGAAAATTGAGTGATGAAACAGCATTCATCTATTTAAGTGTTGCTTTAAAACCTACTTCAAAATGAAAAATAAAATAAAATTCAGTGATGAAAAAAGCATTCATTTATTTAACTGTTGCTTCAAAACCTACTTATCAACATACAAAAAAAAAAAAAAAATGATGGAAACAGCATTCATTTATTTTAGTATTGCTTCAAAACCAACTTATCAAAAGATAAGCATCAGCAAATTTACACTTGTGTTCTGTACATCGTGACTCTTATTTACGATTGAACTACTACACGCACGGAGTATTGTCTATTTACAAACGGAGAACACTATGAAGCCTATTAGGAAATGGGAAATGGCACTACCACAAGAACATGAACTTCTCTCCGAGAAAAAGACTAGGCAGTTGGTGAAGAATGATAGACTAGAATGCGGGGATTTTCTAGTCCTCCCAGATTAGTAGTAGCTCAATAATACCTCAGGTCCTCCTATGAAAACTACAAGCCTTTACAAGTGGGAAGTGAGAACATCAGAACGCTATGACCTACAAGTTACACAGAAGTTACTCTTCTCCCAAGTTCCATATTTTGAGCTGAAGGTCCCCCCACCACACTCCTGCGCATATTCTGTTACAGCTGCGCGGGCGTAAAAATCCCATCTTCTTACCATCTCTGTGAGAGATATAGGTTGCGAAAGAGTTCCAAGAGAACTACTGAACTTTGATTTGGCCTTCATGGAAAGAGATTCATATACTTTACTGCAAGAGATATATCGTAGGATACTTTTGCTCATTAAAGTTCACAACATGAGACATAAACTAACAATGAAATATTCCAGAGGAAAGGCTACTTTGCATCGCTATTTACAAGTGAAGATACAATCATAAAATCACTGTTCATTAGTTGAGGGTAATCAAAATTTTACACACAATGACACAACCATAAACTAAACCTACTCAAATTGGATGATGTTATCCCATCCTATGCTGTAACCATAGAGGCAAGATTATCCGAACGTGTTTTAGCGGAGGGGATTATCAGGGAGTTCAAAGAATATCCCCCACATGGAAAGACTCACAACTCCTATTTTCTGTCATGTCTCACATATATAACTATAGCCATTACAGGCGGTGTAATTGTCCAAATACATTAAAGAGAAAAGCATAACAATACACCAACTTTAGTTGGAGAAATTGTTAGGTTTCCATACCTCACAGCTATATGAAACTTGTCCAGCAGTATTGGAGAGGAATTCGGATAATCTGTCGGAATAAGCAACCACAGGGGCTGAATAGGTGGCTGTAAGATAGCAGAGTTCCACAAATAATTGTTTCTGCAAGTATATAAAAGCATAGCTTACTTTCTAAGAAGTGAAGAGCATTAGCATCTCACCATCTGTGCTGATATGTACCGTGACTCCAAATTTCCACTGGAACAGACACCACCAAAAGAGCACTTCACTATTATACCTTCACCACTGTTAGCTGCGGCAGCTAAATCAGTTGCATCAACATCATCATCAATAATCTCCACCACCGTTCCAATTAGTTGCCTATTTAGTTTATGAATCTCATCTACAAGGGCATGGCTTGCCTGCAACACACACCACCTTCTTTTAATCAAAAGTAAGTCATTTACAATCAAAGTTGAAAGAAGCCTAAGCTTAACTTTCAACAGGGATTTAATGCATTGGATTAACAGCATTATGCAGGGATTGCCCAAATAAAAAGAACAACTAAAAATTTTAATAAGAATGGTATGCACTATTTAGGGCATAAATGTAAGCTTCAAAAAACGAAGGGATAAGATAAAAGAAACATGTATTTGAGGGCTCTCTCCCCGGCAGCATGTTAGATACATCCACTCTAAACAAAGCAAGCAAATAGTTTCACATGATAAGATGACTTGCAAACATCAAAATATGGCTTCAAAATTATCAGAATTTTCAACATGATGTACATGGAGAAGGAATAACCTCAATCCTTGGTTTTCTAAGGCCTGATGTACGTGTTGACTCCAGCTCCGGTAAAACTAAGCCATTTGCATTAGAGGACATTACACTTGTGGAGTGTCTCATTCTCTTTGCTTCGGTAGGCCCAGCCTGAGGGGAACAATTCTGGGCCCGTAGACAACATTTCGTTATGAAAAGCAGATCCTCACCAACAGCAGCTCTAATATCGTCAACTGATGCAGTCAAAGTTTTGTGGGATGTTGACGTAACCTGAACATGAAAAGTACGTCTCATTTGTATTTTTCCATCAATTAAAAAGTACGAGTGAGAGTGTGTACGACACCCATTAGCAGTTCATGTAGTGGATCAGAAAATCTAACCGCTTTAATTAACCGTTCAATTGGTTTTTCTTCCACATTCAACTTGCTAGAAATGCCGGAAGATGTCATCATATTTTGCTGATCAATTTGTAGAGAAGGATGAGCAGGAGCCTGTATATCTAGAATGCAGTTTGATTGGCCAATCAGCATGTTCTGTTTCAGATTTGATGCAGTAGACTGTTGCCCAATCATTGGCAAATCAAACTGTTGTCCAGTCACCTGCTGCTGTTGCTGCTGAATCTGCTGTGGGTCTTGCAATAAGGTCTTTTGAGAAATGGATGTCTGGCGCTGAGACTGCCCGAGATCCGACTGGGATGAATGCTGGAGAACTGGTTGTGTCACTTGATGAACATAGGGCTCCTGATTTTGTTGAAGGCTACATGAAGGAGGTGACTCCGTTGCAGATGGCTGCAGTCCGAAGTGTGAGCTTTCAATCTGACTTGGTTGTATTATGTTCTGGTGCTGTGATTGCGCCATATCTTGCAACTGACACTTTTGGTCCATCAATTGGTGATGTTGGAGCTGCTGATTCTGACGTTCAGATTGCATGCCATGTGCCACTGCCCAAAGCCAATGGATAGATGCACATACAAACAGAAATGCATAGGAGATCATGTTAAGAAACAAGCATCAAACCTACACCAATATTGCATGTTCTAAAATTCTTATAAATCAGGAGTATAACACAAAGGTACAGGACGATATGTCATTAGTGTGAAGCAGAGTCATGAGCTCCATAATCTCTCCGAGGCAAATATAAAGAATGAAATGAAAGTAAGCATGCATGTATAGGATAACAATACCATCATTTACTAATGTCTTGAAGAAAGCTGTCAGCTACGACGTAATGTCTCTGACCACCGAAACAATGGTTCACTCAGACATGTATACATGGCAAATACAATTGATTCAGAAATGCACAGTTGAAAGCAATATTCTTTTGTTTGTTTGTTTGTTTTTTTTTTTTTTTTTTTGGAAAATGGGAAAGCAGTATTTTATAAAGATACAAATTATAGAATTGCACCCAACAAACAAGCATTTTTTTCTTATTTCTTGAAGAATTCCAGTTTACTCATATCTATGTACCTTAAAGAACATAAGGCCCCTTTTTCTGCTGAGTTCTTTTTGTTCTTATGTACAGATGCTTTTGTAGTATATAACAAAGTAGTTATATAAGTGGTGATTGTAAGATGCTCACCCATGGAGTGCTGATATTTTGATAATTAACCTGAACAATGAGACAACCGTTCCAAAATATAAGGGCAGAGAAGAGATTTTAGCCAAGAATGTCATACAAGAAAGGGTTTGCTTTTGTTAGGGAGGGAGGTGATGACTCATATAACATGGAGCATATTCCAAATATAGACTCTGTCGCAGGTACAAGCTCAAACTAGTTCAAACACTGGATCAGAATGGAACCAGATAACAATCAATTTCAGTTCATCCTTTTCCCAGTTTTGGTAATAGCTGATACTACGCCACTTAACCAGCTGATTCCTACTAGGAAAATTTTCCTATTCATTGAACTGGTATGCATCCAAAAGAGAACCATAAATTATCAGGTGTATCGTATCTTCCCCTACCTCATTCCTCTTCAGTCATTTTCCTCCTCTTATCCAGGGCTATTTTACCCTGTATAAGCACCACTCTTCCATATCAACCATCATCCACCTCTGTCCTCTGCTCTGCAGAAACCCTTGCTCAAGGCAATACCCATTATGCCTCTGCCACCAAAAATTCTAATGCAAACTCAACTTCTCTTCTTCCCAAGCATCAAGAGTTCCTCCGCCTCTACCCTCTACCACCCTCCTCTACCACTCCCTCAAACCACTGTGGAGAACTAATCACTTGACCAAATAGGAATGCATTATGCACTCCAATCCTCGCATATTATAATGCAGCAGTTATGGCATTACCTATATCAAGCCGCAACCTATCAAGGTTGCCCTTTTAGCTCATCCCAATCAGGAACAAAGGCAGGGCATGAACACTGCTCATTTATCGGTTTATATATTTATCTGTCCAAATGGTATGAAGCTATGAACGATAAACAGAGAAACTACCTAGTCAAACAGCCCAATCATGAGCCTTCAACTTGATAAAGCTAAATCTTGGATTTCAATGTAAATAACTGCTCCAAACTGGATGGGAGACATGCAGAGAAATCTGAGATAAGAGAACGAGATGCAACACAGTAAAAGGGTACCCATCAAATCCAAGGTCAACGCTAAATAAAATTAATTACAACTCCCAAAAGAATCCCCACTCTCGCACCACCGAAAGTAGCAAATTGCTACTACAACAAAACTTAAGGTTAGCAAATATGCAATGCCAATGCATTTGCAATTACGTTTTGTCATGTATTGTTGATAATCACACGGAGCAGAATTTGGAGCTTATATATACATGTTTTCTTTCAGTCCCGTATTCACCCATTCATCATGGTACTACACTACCAACTACTCATAAGAGTAGAAGACCTATGCTGACATGTTAAGAACTTTAAATTGTTCAAGAGCTTGCAGAAATTCAAGGAAACATGTAACAACAGTGGGACAGATATACCGAAGATAATGTGAACCCTAATAAAAGAATGGTCAGACAGTTGGAATTAATAAAAGAATCTTGAGGAATCCAAATTACACGGACTGAACCGAGAGACTTATAAATCCTCTAGAAGTGGAAAACTCAGTCAATCACCTAACCTACACAGGATAAAGAATAATGGCAACCCATCTCTGAAGCCAGCTAAGGAACCATTTCATTGTGTTCTGAAAATGATTTTCCTGCTGAAATGGCACAACCCTAACGCAGGAGAATGAATGTGCTTTGTTTTGATCCAACAACTAATTTCCCATGATTTGTTAGCTTAGCCGAATTGCTAATTGATGTAGTTGATTTAATTCTCCGAAATGACATTGAACCAGCAATCATTGCTCGAAAGGAAGTCCCCTTTTCACTCCTGCGTTCTCCACTTTCTTTGGTTTCCTTTTTTCACTTTATTGTTGGAACTAAAACTCCAACTGCCATTAAATTGAACTAAGCTATTTTCTGAATTGCGGACACTGACACTAAACCCCACTGAATTTATATCCCTAAAAACTCTATAGCAGAGTTCTTAAAGTGAAACTAGCAAGGTAAAAAATTTGAAGCATCAAGAAAATTCTAAAAGGATAGCACTACTTAAAGATCAGATTTGCGGCAATCCACGGGGTTCAAAATTCTCCAAAGATTCTAGTTTGGTTTAATCATGTACGTGCATATAAGTCCTACTGTAGTCAACAGGAAAAACAGAGCGTTGCTCTTCTTCTGTATGTAATCATATTAGTTCCAACACATTTTGTCTTAGTAAGCACATGATGTGTTCTCCTATGATGGAATCCTAAACATTTAACTGGTAATGAAACAAAAAAAGAAAAAAAAAAAAAGGGAAACAGAAAAAAGAGGACATTCTAAGGTTAATGCAGCAAGAAAAGACTGTAATATGATAGAATTGGTAAAAGAGAAGCTACAAACAGCCATAATTAAAGAAAGTTTTATACACATAAAAATTTAGTCCTATAGTTCAATCTAATTGCAGATGAATAGGCTCAATTCAGCAACACACGGAACTCTTAATTCATAGAGAATACAAATTTGATGTTCTAAAGCATATTAATGAATCTCATGCAAAGAATATCAGAACTCATGCTCCGTTATGCATCACCAATCCTAAGGTTTCTTTTAGCAAAGCCACTCACAAGATCAATTAGGGCCAACATGAACTTTCGTTGGTTTATTTAAGATGACCTAAAAAGAATGTAAAATTCTCCAACACCATCATGCTAGTGAAAAGATCACTTAGCAATAGATAAAAAAGAGAAGAGGTCAAACACAAAAGACAGCTACATCTCACAACTTACGATAATGTCAATTGATAATCTGAATAGAGAGAACTAGAAAGGAAGCATGAGTAACCAAAAACACTGGCTTAGTATATGCTCAATTTCTGCAATCCCAAAAACAAGGACAAAGACTGAGATCTAAAGCACATAATTTTCACAACATAAGCAGCACACCATAAATTTTTACACAATCAAAGGTAAACAACAACCTGTAACAACAACATTTTCCATGGATTATAAAAGATAGAGTATTACAAGATAGCTTCAACGGGAAAAGTTATTTCCACATTCGCAAAGCACCAAAGAATATAACAATGATATACCTTCATCAGGAGGGGTTTTGCTAGCACTGGTGGTGTATTTTGATCGTCCACAAGCCATCTTTGTAGCCATCTTTGTGAATGGACATGATGCTTGCTTATGCATCTCCTCCACATAATCTGACTGCCATAGAATACATGACATCCAGCCGTGCAACCAAAGCATGAGAAAACCATACTCATTTAGCAATTCCGAAAGGTACAAGGGAAAAATAATTAAGTGTTTATATTCAACTTTCCATTCATTTAGTATGATCAATTTGCATGACCTGCCTGGCTTCGAGCAACAGTATAGATTTTCTCCTCAGCCTTCGTAACAAGATTCTTAAGTCCTTGCCACTGTCTTGGACCAGCGCCAGCATAATGCTTCCACATACTATCTACTCTGCTTAATGAGAATACAGACATTGAACTTAAACTAGCGGAAATGGAACATGTACTCAAGAAGAACTTCTAGGGGCAAAATCCCATCCAGTTGCACACGACAAGGACACAAAGAAAAGAACTCTAAAACACAGAAACCGATGTAAAATAAAGAGAAGTGCCAATGGCATGAGGACCAGCGTCAATCATTTTGTTTGATAGTTATACAGCTCCTACAATTTTCATGAGATTCATCGAGTTAATTTACTCATGTTTACAACGATGAATTCCTTAACAAGAAATGCAGCGACTAAGTTACCTTTTTTTTAAAGAATTTGATGAAAAATTATATTGACTTGTCCTGTGTCCTTATCTTTTTTACTTTTTTGCATTATTGAACACTTCAAAGTCAGAAAATATATGAACAACCTATTCATGTTGAATGATTAAGTGACTTCTTCTCATAAGGTATAAGCACCGTCACCAGCGTAGCATGTATTTCTTACCAGCAAAAATTACTCTGCATCTGAAGTTTTTATTGATATACTACATCACACGGGAAAAGCTTGTGAAAAAAGTGAAAAGATTGATCAAACTGACATATGGAAGGAAACATTTCATACCAAAAAGTGGCATCTTCTATTTAACCAAAGCAGAAAATCTAAACTAAGGAATTTGTGCCTCACTCGATTTGGAGTTATGTGGAAGCTCGAAGATAGCTAACATTCACGCATAAGAACAACAACACAACAATTGAGAAAATGCTTTCAAGCACATTTATCATCCCAAATTCTGAATAAGTCTCAGCTTGGCTGCTTCTTTTAACAAAAATGCTGAAGAACTAAAACAGCAAGAACTCTTCAGAGTCAGGTTTGATTAAAAAATTAACAAAGTAGCAAGCACGTATCATCTTCCTTGCACATCAGCGATAAAGCATCTAATACAAATAATTTCATAATCAGGCTCGGCGAAAAAGAAAATAAAACAACACACACACACAAAAAAAAAAAAAAAAAACTCATTTTCCTTGCAATTCAGCACTAAAAAACATATCAAGCATAACTTCGAAATAGTATTTTTTCATGGGAAACAAAAGAAACAAAAAGCATCCAAAGTCTGCCAGTAATCAACGATAACAAAAACAAAATAAACCCTAAAAATTTTCACATCCTCACCTCGTCTGGAAAAGTAATTGAAAAGAACAATTATATATCTTACATCACAATAAAAAAGAGCGAGAGAATTAAGCAGGAATCAGTACATCTCTTCTTTAATCATCAGCGGAAAATCGGATGGACAGTTAGTTCTCCAATCAGTGGCGTCCATAGCCGCCGGAGAATCAACATCTGCGACCGGCGATAACTCTCCTCCGCCGTCAACATCACCCGGAGGAGAAACCGGAGTCATCTGACCTTGGTCGGCACCACAATTATCGCTATTCATCGGCTCAAGAAACCTAATTGCTTCAAGTTTTGAGGTTCTCAACTTCCCAACACATTCTTGGAGTGACTATAGTCAGGTCGATTAATATATGTGACGCGGGAACGCATTTTGCTACTAAAGAAGAAATGAGCAACTGAACGATGTCGTTCGCTAGTCGGAATGGAACTTAGAATGGAGGGAAACACACTTTAGTCCGTTACGTTTGACCATCTGTTACAAAAAGATGCTAACGTATTTTATTTATCCTCTTTTTGTTCTTTTTTTTTTTTGGAAAAAAATCAAATTAGTTCTTCTGATCAAATTTCGTCTAAACTTTTTAATTTCAATTTCAAGAGTTTGCAGTTTTTTTTCTTAATAAAGTCTTATTTCACAAGAATTTTTGGGGAAAAAATTAGATAAAATACAGATGGAAAGTAATTTTCGAGAAATGACGAACATATACAAACAAATAGTTATAAGTAAATACACTCAAAAAGTGATACATTTTTATCAAACATTAAATACACTCAAATATGGATTAAAAAAAAATCTTAAGCATGACATAATAACGTGCTGAAGTATCGGCCCACACAGTGAGATAAAAGGCTTAATTGACTTTGTGTTGTATAATAGTATGATTGGAAAAGAAATTATTGTGAGGCTCCTCATTTGTCATCCAATGACTTGATTTCTTCATAGAAATACTTCTCAAAAGCATCGGCATGCTCCACTTGAAGGCGCAATGGAATGATGAAGGATCCATCTCCATCTTGACTGGGAATCAAGAAAACTCTTCCATCATAACCTAATGATCCAGGTCCCAAGTAAACTTCATCTCCCCAACCAAACTTAGCTCCGTACAACGGCAACAACCCGACCCAACTCGTGATGATCAAATTCGGGTTCCCAAAAAATGACCCCTGCGCGCAACCAACCGTGTGGAAATGTCTCTTAGTCGCAATGTTCGGGATGCTCTTGATGCAACGAAGGTACGATCTCACGTACTCGTCGGTAACGCTCTCGATCGCGGTCCTGATCTTCCTTGCAGTGTAGCTTACAGGATTGGATAAAAGTTCATTCACAGTGGATGAAACTGGTAAAGGCATAACCGCATTTCCAAAGTACCTTTTGGGCAATGGCGGGTTAATCCGGTTGCGAAAATCCACCGTCACGAACAAGACGGTTTCTTGTTCGGGTTGTAGTCCTCGGGCCAGTGATAAACACTTCCATATATGTGCACATACCACATCAAACCGGCTGACTTGTGGTCGCCCGCCGGCCGGAATCTTCCTTAGTTCCTCAACTCCTTTGTTGAGAAGGTCTAAGGTAGCCTTACTCCTGAGGGACTCAACTTGCTCTTTGCTTAGTTTCAGCATCATTGGTTTTGTTTCCTTCTTGCGCTCCTCCAGGTTATCAGGCTTCCCTAAAAGAAGTGGCAATGGAAAGAAATCAGTGTATTTCAAGTTAGGCTTTAAAGTTAGCTGCAAATCATCGTGCTGTTGTAAGACCCTCCGGTCTAGAAACGGATGATCATCGGATGGAGAACCGCGGGCGATTTTCGACCACTCAAACACGAAATGAACCGCGCTTTGTCCGTCTACCACAATGTGTGACATCCCGGCTCCAAATCCAATACCACCACATTTCAACTTTGTAACCTGTGCGACAAGCAACGGGACCTCATGGATAGGAGTTACATTGTAATCCACCGACGGGATAAGCGATCGGATTTCAGGGGACGGGCGAAAGTCCCCAAAATCATCGATGGTGAGGTTGGATTCAGCCTCAATCAGCAGAGCTCCCATGGAGTTACAATGGAGCTCGACACGGCCGCCATCGGTCCAGTGCAACCGCCCTGCGAGAGGGTAAAATTTCACCAGGACTTTGCTGAGGGAATCTTTCAGAATCGGGACAATTTCTTCGAGGGAGCTGTAGAAAGATGGTCTGTAGAAATAGATGGTTGGGGCATGAGTTAAGGGCTTGATTTGGTCGCAATCTGATAAATACATGACTTCTTCTGGTGTTGGTTCAGCTGGTTTCACAATGTGGGAGACGGACCTCAAAAAAACCATTTTTTTGTTGGGAAATTTGGCTTGAAAGTTAAAAGGAGATGAGACTAATGTTGTACTAGTTTCTTGTGGGATATTGAAGATGTACTTTTGTGTTCGTATATATAGGTTTTTTTTTGGCCCTTCAATAATTCTTCGTGGCAATTAATATTCCCTTCGTTTTCATTTTGTTTTTCTTAGTTCCTCCAAAGGAATCATTTCTTCTAGTCGAGTTGTTATTCTTTTTTTTAAAAAAAAAATAAAAAAAATCCTAAACTCACTCTAGTCGTGTTGTTCTCCCTTTGACAAGTTTTTTCATGCGCTAAGAAAGGATACCTCTAAAGCATACATTGTACTATGTTGTCCTAGATCCTCCCAGTCTCCAATAATTGTAACCTTCCAACACTAAAAATTAATCATTGATCACCATAATATTCGAGTTCTATAAACAATATTCTAATTTTGGAACGTAGAGAGTAGCTAATAATTTGTTTTTCTGAATTGTCTGCTGTTGTTTTTGAAGATATTTGAACTCCACTTCGTGAATCATTGCAATTTTGGGAATTTAATTCCACTATAAAATAATCCTAATCAAGTGATTCGTCATGACATCACCGTGGTTGAGTATTCCCTAACCAGTTTAGCAACCCCTTTCTCAATTAAACCATCATATCCGTGAACTTTCCTGCCACAGTAACTTTTGTCGTACTGTTTATTTATAATCATACTATGCTGTATATAAAAATTCATGAATCAGCTTAATTATACATAAATTTTTTGTAAGTGAAGTAAACTAATTATAAATTGTTTAATCATCTGCCATTCCGAATTGTAGAGTAGTTAGATGTATTAGGACCAAAAAAAAAAAAAAAAAAACTAGAAAGTAGAGTATTTGATATTTTCTTGAAACGGTAACTGTTAATTAATTCTTTCTGTCATGAAACTTAATATTCTACAAAAATAAAAAATTAGAAACGTATGATTAGTTAGAGACATTCGTATCACGTTGTATCAAAACACAATCATTGTGGTTAAAGATGGGAACTACAGTCAATTATTTTATACGTTCGGAGGAAACTTCCTTCTTTGTATTTTTCTGGTCAAAATCAGCGAGTTTTGGTGGAAGGAATATTATGTGAAATATTAGTAGCATTCTCATCCAGATGATGAATTTAGAGTTGGGAAGAAGGAATTTCTGAAAGCTCCCCTTCTCAACGAGCTGAGATTCTCATTTTCGTAATTTATGCACGCGGGATTTGTATGTATATTCTTTTTGGCAATTTACAAATTATTAGCTCTTTAAAAAACTCACAACTGCTAAGTACTGTTTTAGAATTTTTAAAAGTAATCGTTACATAAGCTCTTTATTCTTAAAAAGCATGAAAATTTGCTCACATGCCACTTCCACATCTCATGCACGTTTGAGCCATTTGACTTCCTTAGGCCATTTCTTCCTCTGAAATCTTGAGCATTCTTGTTCCACAATTTTGTTCAACCATTTGGGTTTCCCAGTAATGAAAATGAGGCATCCCAGACTCAATCCAATCAGTATCCCAGTTCCGTATCCAATCAGTGCAGCTTTCCAGGTAAATCCATCGATGAAGTCCTTGTTTATTTGTTGATACGGAGTTGCAGTCGCACTTGTAGTCGGGATGAAATCAGTACTATTCAAACAGGTTCTTGACAATGGAACTCCACAAAGGCCATCATTTCCCAAATATGAACTATTCTCAAATGTATCAAACTGGCGGCCTCTTGGAATGCTACCGACAAGTTGGTTTTGTGAAAGGTTTAGAACGGAAAGGTACGTCAATGCCGTCAATTGTTGGGGAATTTCTCCATCAATTTCATTTAATGATAGGTCCAAGGATTCCAATGAAGTCAAGTTCTTGAAGGTTAGTGGAATCGGACCTCCAAACCATTGTGGGAAAGATTCAAACCCTGAAGAGCTATGAGATTTCCGATGACATCTGGAATGAACCCATGAAATTTGTTGTTGGACAAATCTATGGTGGTAAAGATGGAAAGTACATGATAAACATCAATCTCCATTCCTTTTGTCACAACCAACACGGATGAACTTTGGTAGTATAAAAAAGTTCCGTTATCGAGCATCCGCGTTATGATATGATTTATTATCTTCATACTATTCAGTTGAGCGAAAAGATTTGGTGACAAGACACCGGAAAATTTATTTCCTGAAAGATCAAGGATTCTCAATGCGGGAAAAAATGATCCAGAGTTAGGAATACCAAGAGATCCATACAAATGGTTCGCTCTCAAGCTTAGAACCTGCAAGTTTTGTAGGGTTCCTAACCACCAAGGAAACATACCATCTAAGAAGTTATTTCCAAGATCTAGGACTTGTAACATTGAGCAATTGGACAAGGATCTCGGGATTCTTCCTTCTAACTGATTGTCACGTAGATTTAGACTTGTCAATCTACAACCGATTGGAAAGCTGGATGGAAGTATCCCTAGGAAACTGTTGGAGTGCAAATCTAGTATCGAAAAGAATGTGCTCAAATTCGCCAAACATTGAGGAACATCACCTCCCAAGTAGTTGTTAGACAGATCCAGTAACACAAGTGAAGACAAATTGCACATAGATCTCGAGATTTCACCAGTAAATTTATTATATGAAGCAAGGTAAACACTTATTTCATTGGGTGGCATAAGTAATCCCCCACTGAAGTTATTTGAACTAAGATCAAGAAACGCAAGGGACTGGGAAGGAAGTTGGGGGATATGAGTTAAAGAGTTGTGAGAAAGATTTAAATAAGACAATCCTAGAGCCCAGCTGTATGATGTCTGTTGTTGAGAAAATATTTGGCCTTGAAGCATGTTTTGAGAAAGATCCAATTGCTGCAGATTGTTTGCTCCTGTTAAGAAATCTAAATTCTTCACCCCACAAGAGGACAAAACCAAGCATTGAAGAGAAGAAGGTAAGGTTGAATTCCCTTGATTCTTGGTGAGTGATAGCCTATTGAAAGAAAGGTCAAGAAAGGATAGCCTTTGCAAGTTTGAAAAGAAACTCACATCTACATTTCCATAAAAGTGGTTGTATGACAAATCAAGCACCTTCAGATCAAGAAGTTTTGAAATGGATAAAGGAATAGGACCATATAAATTGTTACTGCTCAAATGTATCTCTTGCAATGAGTGATACTGGAATTCTTGGAGTCGGCCAGTGAGTCGATTGTATCCCGTGTGTAAATATGTCAAAGAGGGTAGGTTGAATATCTAAGATGGTATTGTACCATTGATTGAGTTGTAGGATAAGTCAAGATAAGATAGGTTTGGAAGTCCAGTAATGTTGGGAGGCAGAGGACCTTTGAGTGAATTGTCTGAGAAGTCTAAATGTTCAAGTTTAGTTAGGTTAAAGATTGTGGACGGAAAATAACCATTGAAAAGGTTTGAACGGATATCTAAGTTAGTTAAGCTTTTAAGATTACTTAAACTATCGGGCAATTGGCCTTCAAGCCTGTTATAATAAAGGAGTAGGACTGCGAGTTGTTCAAGATTTCCAATGCTTGGTGGCAAATGTCCGGTGAAACTGTTTCCACTAAGGTACATACCCTCCAATTCCGTGAGATTTCCAAAGGATTCGGGAATGGGGCCAGAAAAGTTACAATCCTTGAGGACCAAAAAGTTAAAAGATTTCAAGTTTCCAACAGATTCGTGCAATTCTCCTCCAGAAAAATTATTGTAAGACAAGTCAAGTATGTGAAGTGCGCTGCTAATATTCTGGTTTACCTTTAGTAATCTGCCGCTGAGACGATTGGCGGATAGCGAAATCACTTGCAGCTTTGGTAGCTGAAAAATTTCTCCTGGAAAGTCTCCAAAGAGTCCATTCGACGCAAGATTCAGGATTTCCACGGAAGCAGAGAGATTACGAGGCAGCTTTGAATTAACTCCGCAAGCCTCCAATGACAATTCTCTTAAATGAGTTAAATTTTGAAGTAACAATTCAAAAACTTGCGGTTCAACTGTAATGTTCTCGTTCAATGAGAGATCAAGGGTCACTAAATTGAGCATGTACGAGAGTTCTAATGGAGCTGAACCTGAAAAAACAGAGTCGGAGAGGTTAAGGTGCGCCAACCTCCGAAAGCCGGCAAAATTGCTATGTACCGGGGATGACATGAAGTCATTGTGAGCAAGGTCAAGGCTTTGAAGATGAGATAGATGAAAAATGGTGCTGTTGGAATTGATGGATCCTTGAAGCTGGCTGCAGCTAAGATCTAAACCAATAATTTCACCACTTACCTCATCACAGGTTACTCCATCCCACATACAACAGTCTGTGCTTCTGTTCCACGATTTTGTCTTTGGATAAGAAGGTTTGTCAAGTTCTTTGCACATGTATGAAGCTCCTTTATTAAATTTGAAGCTTTGCCTGAATTGGATCAAGAGGAGGCTGTTTTCGTCGGTACACAAATGGGGTGTATGATACGTTGAAATGATAACCGGAAAGTTAAGAAAAATGATCAAAAAAGGAACAAGGGCTGGAGCCATGATTGAGCTTTTATTAAACGTGGTTGTTGCGGAAGATGATAATATGTGCATATAATGCAATGAGCTGAAGTTGCAGAGTTTATGTATTGTACCTTTAATGCTTTACTGGTACATGGCTACTAATGTTATGCTGACATAAACTTTCGTTCGTATTAATTCCTCCTGTCAAAGTCATCTTGGACTCCCATCTCAAAACCAATTGGCAATGAGTAGGGTAGCTTTGACACTTATAAACAGGTGTCAGATCTTTCACGACATCGATGTTGGATTCTTTTGTCCCAAAACCTCCCTCTACACAATTATTGTCTTGTGTCGAATGGGTTGAATTCGTCCACTCTTATTGATTGATTAGAAGACTTAGGAGTCTTGTACCAAAATAAAAAGAGAAGAAGACTTAGGAGTCTTGATTTGAATGTGGAGGGTTGTGTGGTCATAATCTAATATCTTATCTTGACTTGGGTTAAACATATTGATAATCAGATTTTAATGTGAGTACATGATATTTAATGTGAATGAAGGACTAGATTCATGTGAGGCTAGGTGGTGGAAGTTAATAGTTCGCTGGAAATTCAGTTTCAATACTTTTATTTCTGTAATTCGCTTTTGTTTGCTGCCCCGTATACACATATACATGTCTCCGAGAAAGTCTTCTTAATTATATTTACAACCATTTTGCATACAATATTTTACTCAGTTATAGGAATAATTTGTAAAGGTTTTATCAAAATTTCAGTTTTAAAAATAATTATCATGATAAAATGTTGCGAAAAAATAACTCTTAATTCGTAATTATGAATAAGAAGAAAAGATGCATGGGGGTATAGAATATAGAAAGAAAGAAGATTTTCAATGCTTTAGCGAATTGATCGATTACCTTATTAATGGTTAGGCTGCCCTACAAAAAGAAGGGGTGGATAAGAAATGAATTTGATCTTTCGAACGCATCTATTGAATTTGGAAGTCATAGCTCTTTAAATTTTTGTGTTAGAAGGGAAAGCACAAACGAGATACGTTTTGATTGCTAAAGTATATATCCTTGTGGAAGAATCGATGAATTAGTCCCATCGTATGCACTCACAATATAATGTCATCCCTAACTATTCTATTTAATTAATGTAGTCCCAACCTATATTACATTTAGTCAGTTTAGTCAAATTAATGAGATTTCTCAAAATTTTAACAGTTTCTTAACTTTTCCGTTAACAATCTATTTCACTAATTAATAAATTTCAGCTTTTCTATTTTCTAATTCCATCACCGCCGCAGTTGCCACCGCGACCACGTACCCCTCTTTCCCCTCGGCCACCATTTTCGGTGTTTATCCCTCCACAGCTTCCATTTTTATACCATCTTCAAAATTGATTAATTGGAAAATACTACCACTCAGTTTGATGCTTACGTATTTCAAGATTATCGAATGATTTTCACCCATAGTACACTGTACAGATCATAAGAGTTTGAAAACTGAACTCAAAATCAGATGAAGAGATGGGTTTTGGGACAGCTTTTTGCCGGCTCGAATTGTTACGTCTAAGCATAGACTTTCTTCCTTTTTTTTTCCGGTTAGATTGAAGGGCATTGTTTATTTGAACTGCTGCCAGAGAAGTGGTTGTGGAGAAAATTTTGGATTTTGAGGTGACTGCGGTGGTAACGGTGGAGTCTTTGGTTGGGCCTGCCGGAATAAAAAATAAGAATTGATTTTTTTAATTAAAGAAATAAAGTGTTTAACGGAAAAAGTAAAGAATCTGTTAAAACTTTGGAAAATCCCGTTAAATGGACTAAACTGACTAAATGTAAAATGGTTGCGATTAAATCAACAAAATGGAATTGATAGGGATGAGATTATATCATGACTGCATACGTTGGGACTAATTTGTATATTCTTCCTTATTCTTGATACCCTCCATCTCTTTTAAACATATTCCAGGTTAATTAGTCTCTTGCCTTAGGAACTGGTTTAAACATTCAGAATAAGTTGCGAAGAGTGGACATATTTAGATGCCACATTCTATCCCTTGTCATTAGTATTACCTTGTCAATATGACAAGATAATGGAACAATGTCAAACAAACTCCCACTCATTCTTAAAGGTTTAGTCATTGTTCCAAACATTGAGTATAAGGAAGGAAAAAAAAAACTGACACCGATTAATCGAATTAAAAATCGACATAAAACTGAATTGATTAACCGAACATTAAGTTAATTGATATGTCCAGATTAAATGGTTTTTTATTTGTTAATTGGTTTAGTTTCAATTTTGCTTATATCTTTCTCGGTCAAAACAGAAAACTGATTATAGTAATTAAAATTTGTAAACCTAGTCAAATTTGTATGTCTCTTATTTATATATCATCAATTTTTCTCATTTTACCAAATTTTTTTGCTTAAAGAGTTTGTTATAATAACATGCTTTTGGGTTGGATAGACTTTTATATATATAAAAAAAGGGTTGATTGTTTATAATGTAGATTGTGAGTTTTGTTAAAAAAAAAAAAATTAATTGTTTGGTAGGCCTGAAAATGTTATATGCACTATATAAATTAGAAGAACAAAATTAAAAAATTTATCTAAACCTCAATTGCATTTTATTTGAACCATGACAAATAGTTTCAGTTAAACCTAAAGAAACCAATAATGAAACCGAAAACCGATAAACTGAAACTGTGAAACTAATTACCGGTTTTATCTAAAATTGATAAAATAGAGATTAATTGAAATCGATTAACCGAGAAACCGATTAAATGGCCGGTTGAAAACCCTAATTGTGTAATCATATACTACTTACTGTCTCAAATGTTAATTTGAGAATGTTTTTTAATTAAAAATTGCACTTAAAATAAAAGATGTTGACTGCATAATATTTTTGAACAGAAAGAGTATATACAATTGTCTACTTTGTGGTTCAAAAGGTTGGCTTTGTCAGTTCTGATTAGTGGAAGACTTGGAAGTCTTTGCCTTATTAGGCTTCTATTCTGATTAATTAGTGGGAGACTCAAGAGTCTTTCTTGTAATGATTTTTTTCCATGCACATTCCAAAAGCGTTAATCAATCCCAAGTGATGACGCAAAAATATATACACTTTTTTCTAGCATTTTTTGCTCATTTCTGCTTGTAATTTAGTGTTAATTAGTTAGAATTAGTTTATTTTTGGGGTGATTTTACAGTTTAGGTATCTCAAGGGGCCTATATGGAAAATCAGCATAATTGAGTACTAAATTGCACAAATAGGCATAAAAAAGGACTAAAATTGGAAGCTGCTGGAATTGAAGCTGCCGGAATTGGAGATGCTAGAAGGACTGATCAGAGCTGGAGCAAGTAGAGGAATCCTTGCTAAGGAAGGAAGATTAATAGCAGATAGATACAAGTCGAAGAATATACTGCAGCAACACTCAATAAGGAGGAAGAATGGCAGTTGTCCTGCTACCTAATTTGCTGCTGCAGTAGCTGTTACTGTTGCTGCTGTCAATCAACAAGGAGCCACTAGCTGAAATCTTGATGCCCAAGGAAGGAAATTGCGTTGCCATCACTGCAAGTTGTTGCTGCTACAAGTGGAAGAAGAGAAAGAGGGAGAATATGTGATGAGCAGCAGTTGCAACTCTGCTACTTACCCACTAATGCTGCTGCTGAGTTGATGAATTGGCTGTTGCATAAGGGTGAGCAATGGCATAGCAAGTGACCCACGATAACACGGGAGAAAAGGGCAGAAGATTCAGGCTAAATTGGGGGCTGAAGACATAATGATGAAAGGAAGCATGCTGCTGATGCTGATGCTTGTTGCTGCTGCTAAAATGGCCTCTGAGGATTAAAAAATGAAGAAATAGAGACTTGTGGCAGGAAATTGGAGCAGCTGCGCCATAGAAGAAAACTAAGAAGAGCAGGCAATGATGAAAGTAGTAAATTGCGGCTGAAGAGAATGAGCAACCAAGGAGAAGACTGTAACTTGCCAACAAGGTAAGTTGTAGAATAAACAAATCTCCTCTGCTGCAAGTTGCTGTCTCACCTTTCTACTGCAGAGAAGAAGGCTAGAACTCCACCAATCCAAGCCTCTCCAAATCACTATAAATACCCAGCCAATAGAAGTAGAAAATAGAACAGATTGGGTAGTTAGATTTAGTCCAAAAGACAATAGTTAGGTGGTAGTTAGTTGGTTAGAAACATGGTAGTAGTAGGAACAAGGCAGATTGTCGCTCTAGCAAGTGGCGAACGCCACTCGCCATAGTGAGCAGACAGAATTGTCCCTGCTACCATCCTCCCTTTCTTTCCTCTAACCTTTAGATTAGGATTCATGTCCTATCTTTTGTACTCTGTTGCTCTCATACTTAACTCAATAAGCATGAGTAGCTAACTCAGTTAAGGGTTCAATCCCTACTATCTTTTTGTGAAAGTTTTGATTCAGTTTTCTTGATGAGGTATTGTGCCTAGATAAGTGATTTAATTAACCTTCTAGTAAACTTGATCAATTAATTAGAAGTACATGCATGGTTATGAAGATCTGGAAGGGGGCGCATAACCTTAGAAATGCATAATCTAGTCTATGACAAAGGAGGAAAGCCACCCCCTTGGTTTCATTCACCAACGGCAGTTCGGTGGTGGCATAGGTGATCTTTAAGGGCTTAAGAACTTAATGGCCAGATTAAATAAGACTCTGACTGCTTTGATAGTCTAGGACTCCTTATTCTATCTTGACGGAATTATAAGGATACATAGGTGCCTGATTGAACAACTAATCATACACTACAGAGATATTGAATCAAAACTGGATCATAAAGGTGGGAAGGTAATTGACTCTTCTGCCACATCACTCTGTCAAGTGACTATTCTCACTCTCCCAAGTGACAGTCTGTTCAATTATTTTCTTTTCGTTCCTGCATTTTAATCAGATTTTAAGCGGTTGACTGACATCTCTATGGAACGATCCTGCTTACCACTAGCTAATAGTCTTAAGTAGGTTTATAAATTATTCTTTTGGGGAATGATTCCAACGAAAACACAAATCGTGTCTCACCAAAAGTGGCGCCGTTACCGGGGATGGCGTTAAATATCCTTAAAGT